GGAAATCAAGGCATCTCCGGGACTCGAGGGCTCGATATATCGAATTTGGCCACGGCCCGCCTTTGGCTCCGTCCAGATCCCGATTCCGCTCGAGATACGAGAAGATCGTTCGAGATAACTATGCGGCAAACCGTTCCTCGATATGACATGGGAATCGAATTTTCTGAAAATATGTGGAAAGTATCGTGGATTCGCCCCCTTTTTTTTTTTTTGGAAATTTTCCCATTTCCCATTTCTCCCTATTTATTACCGGGAGAAATTATCGGGGAGATATTCTGGCATCCTTAACTCCGAAATTTATCATCTAATGATAGGTATGATACAATTTTTCCCAGTTTTTCGAAGGAATGTTTTAAAATAATCGAAAATAATACGTTGCCATTGCCAAACCGGTGATAATTTCCATAACGAATGGTACTCTTCTCTAATGAAGATAAATATATCATCATTTATTTCTATTAAAGAAATCGAAATGTAACGTCGCATATACAGGGTGTCTCCGAACCAAACGATCAAACTATATATATAAATCCGCTTTTTTATAAAAACGTTGCAATAAAATAAAAATGTGACACTTCAACAGCGAGTCGATTTTTATTTTTATGTAGGAAACAGTGAAAGAATATCGTTCATTCGCGGCAAGAATCAATACGAAGGATTAATAATAACAAGATAAAGATGAAATTTGATCGAGAGTGATATATAAATCCCTAAGATGTTCGAAACGTAATCCTCTTTTCAATGTAACGAAGCGTGATATTAACATTTCTTTCCTATTTTTATTCATGGATTTTTACACACAGTTCGATCGTTTAACCCTGTACACAACGTTACATCGAAAAATATAGTATCGTATTTTGACTCCAAGTTCTCGTCACGACACCAACGATATTTCGATTGGTGAACCACTAGTAGCTAAAACCATATCACCTCACAGATGGTTCAAAATTCCATCTTCCATTCTCGCTCTGTTGGGAACGAGGCAAGCTTCCGCTCGAACTCGAACTTGTACGAACTTGTTTCACGGTGTCGCGACAGACAACGCGAACGAGTCGATCGTTTTTCGTTGCTTTTTCCAAGCGAGAGGAGAGAGATAGAATCTCTGGTTTGGCTCCACGATGAAATTCGGGGGAAGAAATGGCGGAGATTTGAGATCTCCTTGGAAAGGAGAAGTCATCGCTCCCCCAAGGGACGCGAATAAACTCGATACCGCGATGGATCCAGAAAAGTGTGCCGCGCAAATATGAAATAGGGGAGCATAAATTCGGTCGAATTTACGGCCGGCCCCGGACAAACGTCTCAACTTCGGGACGCGTTCTCCCCGCGCTGGGACCGCCGTCAACGTCAGAATCAATTTCCCAAGTTTTACATCCACGCCCAGCAAAGGAACTTTCCCACCACTCGACCGAAACTTTCCTTCTCGCTACGCGTTTATCATTTCTTTTTCTCTTTCTTTCTTTCCTTTTTTTCTCGAAATTTCATCGATTCCTATTCCTTTCCTGTACTTTCTACTTTCTCGTACAAAATGATATAATAATACGCTATATATTCTATCAGAGGACTTGTGTTTAACTGGAGAAAGTTGTCCGATTTTTGTCAGAACAAGGTTTTCTTTAAAGTACACCTCTAAGGATTATTATTGCATTACTTTAAGAATCTTCTTTTTTATTTTATTTCGCCAACCACGGCGCCTGGCGAGTCACGCGTCTTCCACGATAACAAGTTTTCCCTCACCACGCGTCGAGAAGTTTAACAGGTTGCCAAGGATATGCAACACGAAGGAGGAAGTGTTGGCTGGGAAGATTGATGCGAAACGATCGCGAGCGAGAAGCTTATCGCGAGTCCTCTTGGTCGGATGAGAGCTCCCTTCAGGATTTTTGCATCCAAGTGAAAATTTGTTATCGATTTTTGTTATCGTTCCTTTTGAGTTTCTCCTTCGAAAATCTTGATTAGAGTAGCTTGATTCATATTTTTTTTTAAGGACGTTACAAAGGAAATTACAAAATTCCAATGAAAATATTGTTCGATTCCAATGGCCCGTTCGAATCCGACTCTTCCAACGATTTCAACGGCAGAAAGCGATCGGAAACGATGGTTCAACGGTATGATAAACGTTCGATCGTGCGAAACGCGATCGATCCGCGACAGAGCGTAACCGTAACTCGTGACGCGTTACGTTACAGGATACCCGACGCAATCCCAGTTTGGCTCAGGACGAATACCCGTGTCAAAATTAATGCGGATATTAGCCTCACAGATCAATCCTCTATCGTGGAATATCGTGAATATCCTCGTTGCGATTATATATTATATTCCTATCGGCCAATAGCTTATTATTTTCGATGATTATTTTCAAAAGATAGATAAGAATATATCGTATATATGTTTGAACGTAATCGAAAAAAGATTTCCTATCCCAATCGGCGATATTTTAATTTAAGATGGAGAAAGGAGAGTCTCGAGTCGTTTCCTCGGATCTCGGAAGAGAAATAAGAGAATACGTTCGATCGTATACGCATAATATACTCACGCTCTCGAACTTGTCCTTGTTCTTGGCGTGCTGAGCGATAAACCTGGCGTCGTCGATGGTCTTCTCGATCTCGCGAACCAACGGCTTCTCGAATGTGGGGCTGACGTCCTCGTGAACGTATGCGGGGCTGGCCGGGCCGAAGAGGTCGTCGTCAGCCCCCGGCAGTGGG